GTCCCAAGTAGAAGTAGATGAAGTGTTTGGTCTCGTGGGTGACATATGAGCCAAAGTTGCGGCCAACTATGCAATGCCAGGTGGGGTTATACTTCTTGTCGAACTCCTTCTTGATATACGCGGCGATATCTTTCTCGATATTATACTTGTCGAGCGCCTGGAGGGCAGTGTTGACGGCGTCGTCCTGCATCTCCTCTGACATGTCCGCGTTCTTCACCACCGCCTTCTTATCGCCCGAAGACATCTGCGCACCAATCGATCAGTTCAGACACACAGACAGACAGACAAACAGTCACTTACTTTGTTAGGATGTAGTGGTCGTGCAGTCAATGCAATCAATGCTTACAACTGGACAACAAATATATGGAGTATTTAGAGACCGATCACTGGATCACTGAATCACTGAATGATGCGTTCAATGCATTTGCGGCACACAATCCACACAATCACTCAATCGCTGAACATTACGACCATCTCTCACACCATTCGTCCAAATCTGTCTCAAACTCTGAATTCTCTAACAATTCTCTAACAAAATACTCGCTTCTCATTGGCTCTTATTTTTTTGCCAACAATTTGTTCCCTTTTATACCTGCGCACCGCCTACTGTAAGGAACTGCTTTACACTTACTATAAAAGGTACTTAAATGAAAGCCATCTATGCCGTGGTGGCATTGACGGTCAATAATGATAGAAAAGTTTGTATAAGTTTTGAAAATACCATCAATTGTTAGCAAATGAAATGAATTTGTGATACATTTGAGTGGAAATAAATGCAATTAAAAGCGATTCAAGAAATGCTTTGTTTTCTGATTAGAGGACAACAATCGCAACGAATTGCATTCAATGAGACTCACTGTATGTCTGCTGACTGTGAGATGGCATCCAATTTAGGAATATTCCTAATATGACTGTCATTATCGGGGTCAGTGTCACACCAGTTGATTGTAAAACACATACACTATAAGACTAAATTTATAGTATGTCATATTATATACATAATATTATGTATATGATACTGTATTATCATATTATGTACTGTACTCGATATGTTTAACTTACCATGGTTGCTCACTAATATAGTCTAATGTAATCTTAGGATCAAATATAGTAATATCGTAATAACAATAATACTGTGAAAAACACAGAAATACCCACAAAATTATATTTATTTTCGAAATTTGTATAAATTATATGAAAAGTTAAATAATTTATTGAAAATAATTACAAAGTTATTAATATTTGTATGATTTCTGTTTAAATGAAAT